GATAAATCAGAGATGAAAGATCCCCGTGCAATTTGTAGTTTGGAACAGATTTAAGCGGAAATAATTACTCCGATGAACTTCTGTTTGCATTAAAAATTTGTCGCGGGAATTTCATTGAATCGCAGCAATTGACATCGCGATTTCGGTAAACGATGTCGTCTGCTTGTTAGATGGCGTGATTAATTTAGCAGCTGTGCGGCTAAATAACAGCCGCATCGATCGCGGCTTCCAATGACCTCAGACAAACGATCGTCTGAAAAGCAGCGGTTTCCAAGTTTTATACGAAACGGAGCCAAAATCTAAATCCATCTCCATCGGGCCACGATCTAAATATCACGCGATCTAAGTATTCCAGAATTGTCTAATTTTTCCCCAAAATTGGAAGCGACGAATCCCTAGCAGACTTCTCGAAGCAATAATTTTTTGATCACGGAGAGACGCGAGAGGAGTATCCGTTGACAGACAACGTTATGCATTGTCACTTTTGTTCTAAGAACGACGTTTGGCACCGATATAAAATTGTTGACAGCTGTAGCGGGCCAAGCGTTTGTTCTTTCTTGACACTAGGTGGTCAGTTCCGCGCCATTCTTCGCTGCATACGGACACGAAGGTGTAAGAGTACGTAAGAGTACGCGAACTCCGGTTACCGATAAGGTGGTGTGAATGATGAGTACGTAGCACTGATAACCGGGGTCTCAAAACGAAGCGGCGACCCGTTTGATTTGCGCGGCGGATCAGTTTGGCCGAGGAATTCGTATATGCGTTCGGTAAAAACGACTGATAGGGCCAGGGAACTCGTAAATATACGGAAGTACATATATGCGTCCGCTGTTGCGGCCCTAGGACCGTACGTCCTTATTACCAGCGTCGCTATGAACCAAGAGGACTGTTTTGTCCTTATTGCCAGCGTCGCTATGAGCGCAAATCGCGTTAAACGCCATGCCGGTTCCTAGGGACCGACGCTAGACTTTCGGTTCAGGCCTCGTCGGTCCGTATGGCCCGGAAGGGCCCGCATGACGGCTAACTGTGGCGTGAACGGAACGGCGCGTAAAACCGGCGTGGCGTTTAACGTGTTAAATGGCGACTGAGGGTCACTTCTCGAGTGCAAAGGATTAAAACTCAGCTCGAGGAGTTGATTTAACCGCGGAAGTCTTTACGCAAGGGACTACAGCGACGTGTGAATATCGTATCCAACGGAATAAAGTACAATCGGTCACCGAGTTATAGACTCATTTTAACCCAGCCCTCTCTTCTCCTCCCCTCGCAAAGGGTCCAATCTTTCTTCAGACATCGTGCTAAAAGTGTATCTCTATAAATTATATCATATCCCTTATTTTCCTTATTCTTAATCAAAATTACCGTCACACCGAATACGCGAAGCACTGTGTTCCTTTTCTAACCTTTGAATCTACAACGGTATCTTTTCGCTTTAGCAGCAGAATCTCCTGTTCTCGATTTTTCTCTTATTCATTACCCATTCTGATCCCCGTGGCGAGCAACATGGCAAGGGAGGATCGTCTCTCCGCGCTATACGCAAGGAGAAACCAAATTCTGACGGAAAAAAAAACGTTGTCCCCTTGCAGCGACACGGCCGGAATTGGACCCTCGGATTGGTCGATACCGTTAATGGACTCGCGACATAAAGGTTTCGCCAAACTCGAGTTATACCCGAGCGATGATTAAAATTAATCGGACGAAGAACAGTCATCGGTGATATTTTACTCGCTCGAGAAACGATTCCGAGCTTGATCCAACATGGCTGCTGTCCCCTCCGCGCATCGATTCGTTTGTCTAATTTTCGTGGCACAACGGGATATTCTGCTACGTAAAATTAGCCTGGCGATAGGGGTCTAATAAGTAGCCTGCATTAAATGCAACGGTGTAACCTAGATACGTCTAGCCGTGTGAGTTATTACAGTATTTAAAGCCGGGGATACCGCTATCGACAGTACGTGAAATGAAATTTCCTTTCGTGGCACCGATTAAACGATATTGTCCTAACTCGGTGCTTAAATCGGTGCGATTCTGTCGTTTCGGACAATGGGAGGGGCTCGACTAGCGTGGAAAGTTATCGTGAAGAATAACGGGGTTAACTAGACAAGAACTATGCGGTTGTAGAAATATTTCCAAGATCTAGGAGCGATATGTGGTATCAGCCGGAAGAACATGTCGTTACACGAGTAATTCTATTTAAAATCATAAATAACGCGGATGCGGCATAAGATAATTGCTCCGAGTTTTCTCTGTAATAAGACTCAAAATGATTATTTCGCAATCATAGCAAGAGGGGAAATTATACTTCGCCGAAGTGGATTATACCAATCGCTGTTCGCATGGGTATCGCTCGTTTTCACGGGGAAAAAGGGAAAATGTTATTCCGTCCACAGCGGTGAGGTACTGCAGTTTCCACGTACGCTCGTGAAAAGGGAAACACGTCTGTGTCTATTTTTCAAAACATTCGCTGGTAGAGAATATATCACGAAGATGTATAGTTCCGCGACTACAGCGCCATTCCGACGGGTGCAGGAACCGGATCGAACTCTGATTTGGCGAATCGCCAGTATCTTGGCGAACGGTGCACTCGACCGAGCATAGACAACGAACTGTACTTTATATCGCGCAGATAATCGCGAGGAATAATAAGAATACCCTAATTTCCAAGCTGTCGACGATTCTAATCACGCAACCAGCCAGACGTTTTATGAAATTCTTAAACAGAACCGAACGTCCATTTCGAAGTCTCGAAACGTTTAATTCGAACAATTCTTTTATTTTCTTTCGTTACCTATAAATTAAAAATGTGCACCTGCCGTTGAACAATTTGCAATTACACGGGAATGTGAATATGCAAATTTTTCATTTTTGACAACGCGTGTAAATTATAAAATTCGACTCGCTGATGAAGAAATTAAGCTGAAAGATGGTCTTTAAAAGAAGAAATTTGTACTTCAGTACTAGCAGAGCACGGGAAACGTTTATTTTCTCTCGTTTTCTATAAACTGAGAATGTGCACTTGACGCAGAGTAATTTACACTTACACGGGAGTACGAATATGCAAATTTTTAATTTTTGACAACGCCTGTAAATTATAAAATTCGACTCGTTGGTAAAGAAATTAAACTGAGAGATTAGATATGAATAATTGGATTGGATAGAAAAATTATTTAGAGATTGGATAGGAAAAGATGGTGTTCGAAAGAACAAATCTGTACTCCATTGATAGTAGAGCACGGAAAAAGATACATAACGTTAATAAAGTACTTTCTCGTGGTAATTGAAGTGAATTTCGTGAATTTCTCTCAGAACCGATACATTTCTCTTACGCCGTGATGCAAAAAATCACTGCAACGTCGATATTCGTAGCAACTGAATAATCTTCAACATCTCGCTTCGTTCATTCAATGTCAATCAAGAGCAAGGAAATATCCATTTAAAGCACCTTGGAAATAAAGCATCGAAGTATTATTTATACTCGTGATATCTGTCCCACACGTATAGATATTTAAGAGAATTTCTCCAACAGTTGATCAGACCAATAGGTTAAAAGTCGACTGTAGGTGAACAGGCTGAAGGTGGAACAGAGCTGCCGTGGCACGGTATCGAGCAATTGCTCTATCCAACCTCGACGGCTGGTGGAAGGAGCGCGGAATAGAGATGTAACGGTATCGTTTTCTACGATCGATCAGCTCGCCTCTGGTATCGTAGAAAATGTAAAGACCACGAGGGGACAACGCCCGAACGTTTGCCCGTTGGAGAGTCGGGGAACGTCGCGGACTTGTCTCGTTCGCGGAAGCGTATGGCCCATTCAATCGAAACTCCTTGAATTAATAAACACGCGGGTGCATCAAACTCCCGCTGCGGTAACTTCGTCGCGGAACTCCGTGTTCCGCTTCGTCCGACGCGTGTAACAGCCGTAAACACGAAAATGAATAAACCACGGAAGCTATAATCTCGATAGTTCGCGGACAGCTGGCGAAGGGAGTGCCGTTCCTGCGGCGGCCATCGCGTTCCCGTGATATTCCTGTAAATCGACGATGACGCCGCTTTTTCATCCGGTATCGTCTGCCCATCGCGCTACCGTGGAAAAATTCCATCCCGATATTTTATCGATGACTTAAAAATATTTTTGTAAGCTCCTCCGCGGCTGATTATAGGTTGCCGGTCAGGTGTTCCGACCATTTCTTAGAACTTTCCACGTAAATATGGATGTGTAACCGTGGAACGGCTGAAAGTTTTGATATCTGCTTCTTTGCGCCTTTTCATTTCTGTTTCACGCTACTTATGCCTACAGTGAGTTCCGCGTATCGACCACCGTGCACAACACGGCTAAGCAGTTTGGTTAATAATTTTCATAAACAGCTTTGATGGCAACATAACGATTCTGAATAATCTACGAGGCAGTTGAAGTTCTATCAACTTCAGCTGCTAAACACGATTCTTACAAGAACTTTCCACTTTTCCATTATCATTTCCAACGGAAAGTTTGCATTCGAGCATACTCAATATTTGATCTGCACGGCAACCCAAGTGTATAAAATGCAGTGAGATTATAAAACACCGTTCGCCATCGTTTACAGTAAGTAGACTGTCCGGCTGGCTCGCGAGAAGGCACGGGGAAAGAGAATAGAGCACATGGAAAATAACAGAAGCGAGTGAGACTTCGATCGAGGAGCATAACGCATTATGGACGAACCAGTCACATGTCCCGCATATTAAATCTTCCTTCTCCTCAAACTATATCGTTGTTAATTGCTTTCCATCGAGGCTCCATGCAATTATTCCATCAGTCCATGACGTGGCACTCGTATTCATGAGCGGCGGCCAGCCGAAAATAAACTTACTCAAAGATGGTCACCGAAATACTATTTAGCATCGACTATGCTTCATTTCTTGACACCGATAACGATTAACAGAGAAAGAGAAAGAAAAGACACGAGAGATCTATAGCTCTAAGGATTGTTCAAAAATTACTCTTCGTGCCTGACCTGTCTATTTTTCAGGTTCCGAAAATGGTCGCGCCTCGGCGGACAGCGAGGACGAAGGCGGAGGGTTGGGCATGGCTGGCGAGGGTCACGACGCCACGGACACGATGTCCAGCAACGCGTCCAGCAACGTGAGTCCCGGAGGGTCGCTAGAAAACGGGCAGAGCACGTCAACCAGCGGGTCCAACAACAACAAGGCCAGACGCAGGCGGACGGCCTTCACCTCTGAGCAATTGCTGGAACTGGAACGAGAGTTCCACGCGAAGAAGTACCTCAGCCTCACCGAGAGATCGCACATCGCCCACGCTCTGAAGCTGTCAGAGGTCCAGGTGAAGATCTGGTTCCAGAATCGGAGGGCCAAGTGGAAAAGGGTGAAGGCAGGACTAAGTGGCAGCGGAGTTGGGTCCGGTGGAAGCAGCATGGCGACCGCAGGTGCCTCCAGCAGACACAACGGAGCTGCTGGCCAACACTCCGGGAACGGGACCAGGATCGTAGTGCCGATCCCGGTGCACGTCAGTCGGTTGGCAGTGAGATCTCACCACCATCATCTGGAGAAGTGCGCCAGGCCCCCCAGAGTTAGACCCACGAACGAGAGTCCCACGTCCGGCGCTTCGACGTCCGTTCTGGGAGACGCTCTTGGATTGGTCAATTCCTCTATCAACCTGACCGGTCAGGTGCAGAGTCCTCTGAACAGCGGAGTCGGGATCGGGGTCGGGGTCGGACTAAGAGCATTCACGGTTCCGTCTCATCGCGGTGGACTCAGTTCTTCCGGCAGGTAGTGAAAGCTAAGAAGTGAACTGTGCATTTGCTGCTAACTGCAGACTCGTGAAGTTTGGGTATTTATGAAACGGAGAGGTTCGGTGTTCGGAGGAACGAGTGAAATCGGTGCAATTTTACGATGGTTTCAACGTTCGAAGATGGTAAGTGACGAGGGAAGAGTAGAAGGTTCGATGGTCTACGCGATGGGTTGCTCTAACGATATTTCGTACGTTCATTTTGCGAATTGCAGACAAAGTATCACGTCTCGTGATAACCTGTTAACGTCGAAATACCAATCAGCCGTTCTACGACTGTCAGTAGGCAATTCGATAATACAAATTGAAGATTCAAATTCCTGTTATATCGCGTTGTAAATCATGACCTATATCTCGTAACTGAAACATCTCTGCCTAATATTTCATAATATTGAATAATTTCAGACTCTTATCGATTCTCGGCAAATGAAATTCGCAAAACAAGTTTAAACGTAATTGGATGAGGAGCAAAGGTACCAGACCATGAACCAGCTCTCAACCTGTCTCTCGTTACTTGTCACGTCAACCGAGACTCGTCCGATTTTTTACCATGGCCGAGATCAATCGATCGACTTGTAAATAAGTATACCTACGTTAACAGGAAAGAACTCTGTAGATAGCTTTCGCACAGCGTACCGCCTAGACTGTATTCCCCGTATACGGGCCGTAGGTCATACTTGTAGATAATTCCTTTATGTCTAAGCGAGTCTCCGCTCCATCCCAGGAGTACCGTGTTCCGACGATACGGTATCGATCGAGCGTGCGATTATCGCAGCTGTATCAGGGCCGCGGAGCGGAAGAACAGCGAAAGTGTATATCGAGAAGGCAATAAATCGTGCGAATATCATGTGGAATATCGTGTTCGTGTACCTGTAAATGCACACCATACTATAGATTCCCCAGTTCTGCGTTTCGCGCCAACCCTGATATTACAAGGTGGCTCGCGAAAGGGCTCTTGATTCCGCGAGAGTCCAGAGTTCTGGATCAAACGACCGAGTCGAGGAACACGTGTTTATTATTCATTCGCGAGTTAAGGCGAATTAAACACTGTCCTATGATCATCGGCAGTCTATTCCGAGTGGCCTCTAATCAGGCCAAAGGATGGTTTTATTCTCAGCGTTCGAAGGTAAGTGATCCGGCTTCCGTGGCAGTGCTGCGCTGATCGATCGTCGATAGGATTGTAATCGGTCGCAGCGTGTCTATTAACGTTTGAACTTACAGCCTAACAGCTCGTGGACATCTGCATGTCGTATTAATCGGTCGAGGGTAATTAACGGAGATTGATTTCAATCTCCGTGGTGGGGGGTGAGTGACGCAGCTGGGGTGGATTGGGTCGTTCAATTATCCCGAGGTAATAAAAACCTACACGGAGCTTATAAGTCCATGGTTATGGAACTGAAAAGATTCACAGTTAGGTTATAACTGTGACAAGCAAGGAAAGAAACGTAAGAGAGGCTCGCAATACCATAATTTGTCTCGGAAATTAATTTGCACTGCGTCACACTCCATTAAAATCATGATCATGGAACTATAGAGGTCTTCCTTAATCCACAAAACCTAAAGAGATATTCGCAAAATATTTTTAAATATTTCAAAACTAATAGCGAAGTAATCTCATTCGTACAGTAGCCAAAGATTGCACCATCTAACGCTACATCTGTCAGGCCATAGTGGAAGAAAATCTGACCACAGATTCTCGCGTTCGTCTTTTCGTTGCATTCAGCCCCTGGACAAATTAGCTGGCTGCACAATGCGTCAATGCATATCGAGGAGCGGTTAGGTTGCTCGGCCGAAAGTGGCATATGGGGTCACGCCTACGAGGCGTTCACGGGAGGCGAGCATGGGGCCCGTCTTTTTCCATGGGTCCCCTCGAAAGACGGGCCAGCACGCGCCGCAGCCTGCGAAAATACGCGCAGCGAACCCCGCCCGTGGTCTGCAGTCTGCAATTTTCCACGTCAAGGTGATCCCATGGGAGACACTGATCTCGTTTGTGCGCCGACAAAAGCCACCCCTTCGAGGAATCCTACCCGACGTAATTGTCAAAACAACTCGGAAATCGATTACGGGAACGATTAGAGAAAGAGGCCGACACAGGATGGAAATAGACTTGTAGAATTTGAAGACGAAGAGCTCGTGGTACTATGTAATTTTTAGAATTTTGAAGGGTACTTTGGGGGTGTTTTCGGGTTAATAGTATTATCAACGTGATACGATAAAAACAACGAAGTTATTGCAATGAAAATAAAAAATTATCGAATGGCGATGAATCTAGAGTAATACTAGAATACTTGTTAAAGACCAAAGTAGTATAACTAGTATAGTAATCAGAGGGCTAATTTCTATTCTATATTATATAATTAAACGATAAGTATTATCGATTGTTATGGAGCAAAATGGAGATTGGACTTTGAAATGAAATACCTTAAAATTAGTTGGTCATTCGTAATCCATACCAGTCTAGAATTAAATTTTCCGACCCAGCGCGAATTCTCCAAATTTTTTGAATTATAGAATGACTGAAAGGAAATTGCTAAAATGAATTTGCCAATCCGATAGTTCTTCTAGAGCGAAGAGTATTTATGGTGCTCGTCGAAAGCGGCCGAGATTGAATTTCGACGTGCCCTTTGTAAAAATGCGAACGACACGTAGCTGATGCGACGCCTAATCGATCAACATTTGCGACTACGCGAATGTCAATACTCTCGTGCATCTCACGCGCATTAAAGTAGGAAATGGATCGGGCAGAATCATGCAGTGACTTCGGCTTGGGGCGTTACGTCGGGGGGAAGAAATTATGGGACACAATGGAGTAGGGTTCAAAGTGCACGGGGTATCGGTATAGCGCACGATAGGTATCGTGGCTGTAATTTTCTTGCTGCACCCCTATGTTTGCACGATGACAATTCTAATTCGATATTTGAACAACAAATGAACATCGTGCGTGATACGTAGAGACGAATCTCTGATATATTCTTGCACGTTTAATCGATTTTAATGAAATCCTGTATTCAGTCTCCGAATTTAATCCCCAAACTCTTCGTGACACGGGATTTCGGATTATAAAATAGACCCATGTTACATAGAAATTTTATTGCGTTTTAAATGAACCAAAAATTGGTATATAACTAATTTTTATAAAAATTAACTTACTTTTACGATTTTTCACATTAAACCGGGAAAAAGAAGATTGTCGCAATAAACCTTCCGCTTGTAACAATTAACGAACCTATATTGGCACGTTGAATGTTGAAAACACGAGCGAATGCATTTATAACATTTGTCGAAGGTATTACCAACTGCTATACGTAAATAAGATGAAACATGAACCTATGCGCATGCAGCTATTGCAATATTTAGAAATGGGACATATCTATCCAGCCATAAGACTATGTCTAAAATCCCTCGTTCAATTCTACCAATTTATAGCTGTCACCAGAAATTAACGTCAAAGTACTTCGCTATTATTGAAACTATAACGAGTCGACTCACACCACAAATTTCCCTAGACACATACAGGGTCTGGTGATTTATTAGGGTGAGTTCCTAATAAAATAAACTCTTTAATTAACGACTGAACGACTGAATTCTACAAAGGGTAACTTGACTTCCTTCACTTTTATAGGAATCATAGGAAAGGAAAAAGGGGAAAGCTAAATTCTGCTTTACCAAAACTAAAATTCCCTTTACAAGGGAAGAAATCCGTTCTTTTCCTCGAACATGGAAAGTGTCGAAATCTCGGAGTGAATTTTCGCAAGAATCTCCGTCGAGCGCGAACAGTGAGCACTTTAAGCGATTCTCCGGAAGACACGTTGAAAGGCAGGAGCAACGTAGTCTAGAAGGTAAACGAGGATGATCCTCGGAGCAAAACGAGAAAGATCGTCGGGCGAGGGGTTGCAGCGGCCTGGCCAGGGTGGCTATAGTTATATACAGTGGGCACAATGGCAACGGCAGAGTGCATTACGGTTAATACACGAAGGACCGCGGTCGTTTAGCCGAGGATCTCGGCAGTTACCGCTTCGCAAAGGATAAATCATCTCGTGATTTCAACCACGCCTACCGTAGGACAGAGAAGCGGCTCCCCCAGAGCGTAACGTACGGCCTAGACGTTCTCTATACCACTCTGTCTCCTTTTCTCTCTTTTCTCTCTCTCTCTCTCTCTCTCTCTCTCTTTCTCTCTCTCTGCGTATATACCGCTCGATGAAAACGCCGCTTCCGAGAGCGGAAAACTAATAATCCCTCGCCGCGGATATCCGTTCTGGAACAGTCACTGGCACGGAACGGAATATATTGATAGCCCGATTGCGGATGTTTTCGCCTGTCTGCTGGAAATTCCGCCTCTAAATGACCGTGCCGTGGTTATCGAACGGCTCCGTGGACCCCGACGATGGACACGAAGCGTTTAGCTTCGAAATTTTATTTACGAAGAACGGATTTTTCATTCCTGACTGGGGGACAGGCAGGGTGGGGGATCTAGGGGAGGGTGAATTAAAAGTAGAGTAATTGTTGGAAGCTTCGAATGTATCGTATACTGCTACTTTATACGGGAATAGTGCATCGTTATGTAGATGGCATCGGTCGAGAAACTAAACGATATACTTATAACCTAAATCACCCTTTTTAAAACTCCCAATGAAAATTCCACATTCAACGTTATCGAATTTCCGATTTTTATTCTATTCTTTCGAGATTCTGCTTCTTTTTCACTCGCCAATTATTTAACCGTGGTTTTGCGTTGATGAGATTGCAAAGGAGACGAATTTTTGAATGAATTTGCGATTAGGGTTGAAGATCCATATTTTATTCCATTTTTTCGAGATTCTGCTTCTTTTCACTCGCCAAATATTTAACCACTCGCGCTGGTATGAAATTTATTGACCCGTGTGTCAGAAGGGTCCAGTGTTTCCGTGACAATTGCTTGACGACGTGTATACCACGTCGTTGGTGATTCTGCGACAAAAGCATTACGACGTGCGTGGCACGTCTTT